TTTAAAATATTTTAATTGCCTTTTTTAACTATCGGTGTTACAACAGCACATACTTTTTCGTAATATTATTTACTGTTCCACAATATTATACTATTTGAACCTGCAAAAGCGTTTTCAACCACCAATTTTTTTTGGGCACCAAGAGTCCAACTCAGGCCCTGCGAGTTAACACGGGCCGTGAGCTATGTTACCTTTAGTGAATGCTCTTTACACGCGTGTATTATCGTTTCAGTGTTCATGTTACTAGTAATTGTAAGATTTTGTGCATGGTGGTCACTGTAACCTAGATTAGTAGTTTTTATTTAATATCTTGTTGTGGTTTGATAGTAGTAGTAATTTGATATATTGCTCTTTGTGAATTAAATGTATTCTATGTTGGTACATTCACTGTAATATCCAAATTAAAAGAATGCAATAAATTGAGAAACATTTGTTTTTCGTGATATTCGTTTAGAAAATCAATACTGAAATCTCCACATATAACTATGGATTTTAAAGATAGAATACTAATTTTATTCAGAATTATCTATAAATTTCTAAGAAAACGAAATTCTCTAAAGCTCGCTTTGTAAGATGCAAAGTAAAATAGTACTGAGCCTAGTAAGATTGTACGACTGTTACTTCAAAATCTTTTAGTAGCGTAAAGCATGCTTAAGTGAATCAGGCTGGTCTCTTTTTCGTTGAAATCCCCTGATATTTTCGAAAATTGAAAAAGTTAATTTTTTCTTGGCGTGTTCCTACAATTGCAATATTGAAGATATAATTTTTTCTTCAAATGAAATTTGTTCTCTTTAATTAAAGTTGTGTAATCGTGTGGCAGAAAACAAAGAAATTTCGCAAGAAAAAACGTTATTGCCGGGTTCTGGTAACGAAACCAGCTGGCGTAACCAGAATCCATGTTTTGGTGGTCCGTCACACCGAAAAATCGATTGACGCAAAACGTCCATCAGCCCGTCCGACTGTGGTCAACGTTAGCGGCTAAACCGTTCAGACGATTTTCTGAAAACTTGATATTTCCTAATCCTTGTCTTATTGGTAAAACGTATGGTACATTAACTCTATTATTCAATATAATATTGAGGAACGTTTAGAATAATTTCGAGAAAGTAAGTGATTTGGCTGCACCACTAGTTTTTAACATTTTAGTACTTTTCACACAATTTTTACTAAAATTTGATCAATATTAAAATATGTTCAAAACACTAATTTCTCAAAAACGGTCCCATAATTTTTTGTAAACTTTTGGTAATGATGGTTAGACAGACGTTTTGCTGTCAATCGATTTTTAGGTAGCGAGGACCCACCAAACAAGGATTCTGAGTAAACAATGTGTTAGAAAAAGTAATTTACTCTAAATAGCAACAAGATCTATCCGGGGCGGCAATAAGAGTTTTTGTGTCGAAAATTCGCAGTTTTCCAGCGCACGATTACAATACTTTCTCTTCTTACGTAAGTGAGAAAAAGTAAAAAGCGCCGTCCTGTCCGACCGCAGGTTGGAATCCCGCCTAGGGCATGAATTTTTTGTGTCCATATGCGCCCTCCGTTACCATTATCTCAAAGTTATAAAACGAATTGTAAATCGCTATATTACCATAGCAGTTGAAAAGCACCTTAAATAATTTACAAAAACAAAATCAGCTCTTTCAAAAAGGTTATGTACCACTTTTTGAAAACACGAATAGTTTTTGCATAACTTCTGCTTCAAATTTATTTATTAATTTCTTCTTCATATTTTGAACGCGGATAGAACAAGAAAGGCTTAAAAGAATGGCGCAGGTTTCATTATACTTGACCTCTCCGTAGTTTCGAATATTGAAAAACCGTAACATTTGAAACTCACAGAAGTAAATATAGATATTTTGCCTTAAACAAGATCAGTTTTAATAAATCACCTCACTAACAAAGATCATGTACATTGTTATGAAAAAAAACTAGTAGTTTTCTCGCAATGTCTGCTTGAAAATGATGAAATTAATGGTGTCCCACCAACTATGCGCCAAGAAAAATATTATCGCAGAATAAAAACGGATCAAATGGATATGAAAACAAATCAGTTATTTTAATTATAATTTACTATTGAATATTCCAATATTAGTTACATTTTTACACTATTCTACAATTTGTATTCTCAATGTACTGATGTGTTTTGTTTGAACCAATCCACAAACCTTAAATGAGACTGGCCCAATTAGGTTTTCTCTCCAAAAAATACTATTTAAATGTAATACGAAAGAAAAATTGAAACAAATTTAGTATGCTAATTTGTATGAACTTTTATTTAATGTACGATAATTTTATATTACGCGGCGTTGCCATACAATGCTGCGATGTGGTAATTCAAGAAGTTTTGGATGGGAGAGGGATAAGATAAGAAGGCGTTATTTTCTTAACATTCATTTGCAATATCTGTTCGTTCAATAAAAGTGTACATTTAATCATTTTAAAGTAGGGATGCACATTACATAATGATGTATCGTATGCATTCACTCGGCTATATATTGAATGGTCTTTACTTCTAGATGTTCGATTTATATGTGAAAGTTTCCTTGCTTGCATTTTGCAAATAATACGAATAGTTACAGATAATGCTAGAAAATATGTGCGGTTGTAACACCACTAGTTTGTTTTGACATCATACTTTCGTGATCTTATTTTGCTGAAAGATGTATATCGTTGAAATTACCATTCATAATTACGTCAAAAAATAAAAAAAATACATCAGTTGATGATTTCTGAAGATTTGCATGCAACACAGATATTTATAATTACAACAGTTCAATCGTCCTAGGAATCATATTCATCTGATGTAAAATCAACAGCTCACAATAAAAAATCAATATTTAATGCATGTACTATGTTTTATTTCAACACATTGTCAGATGACATTAAACAATGAAAAGTATACAGATAGATACACAAGTTTATGTGCCATGTGAAATATTTTCTACTGCACACTGTTTCTATATCAAAAAGAAAATATATTATTAATTTTAACATAGCTATCTAATAAATTATTTAAAATTTGTACTGTATAATTTTATAAGACTAAATATATCAGAACGAGTAATGTCACTCAGGCTTCTGGATCAATGAACCAATCGGAATCTGTGGCTCGATCGAGCAGTCCCGTTTCCCAGATTCATGTATCAAATGGTAAGGTTTGATCATAGATTCACTATGCGCAGGTTTTTTTGAGGTCTCTTTTGCTAGTTGAGGAAGGAGGAGATTCGGAAATTTTGTTTGCAATACTACGAAATCAAATCTGTTTTTCGTGTACCGATGCGAGTAAGGTTTCTATACCTCGAGATCAAAAATTCCTATCGTTCCAATGTTTACCTCGCTTTGTTGTTATTTTTATTCGTCATTCAATTAAGTATGGTAAAAGGGTACGAAAGAGATTCTGGAGTTCAGTATAACGTGAGCAGAGTATATTTCTCCCCAAGTATCACACGCAGTTTGTACTGTTTTTCGACGAAAATAGATACATAAACAAAAATATGCTGAAAATGTTTTCTTTGGACTTTTTGTAAGGATAGAGAGAGAGAGAAGGATAGAAAACACTGAATTCTATTGTGCCATTTAGAATTATACATTTGAATTTTCAAAAATGTAATAATTCTTTTTAGCAATTTGTACATTAATATTTACGTTCGATGTTCATTCGTTGTTTGCATATCATTGACTATTTGGGCACACGAATGCTTGGAATAAACACTAGGCAATATTTCGATATCTCAAACGTTATCACGTATAAATGTTTTTCTTTTTTACATTCTCGCCTTACGAATTATTTTCATCTTTCCTATGAAGAGATTCGGGAGGAAGACGTATCAGGTCACCTATATTTGTATTGCTTTGTAATTTAAAAACTGGGGATTGATTTTCTGTGCTACTTTTTTCTTTAACGACTCCATGTGCGCTGATAAATTGAGTATATATCGGATTTCATTAAAATATCGCAATTAAAGAACATACCAAATTCGAATCCCCCGAATAAAATTATTTGTTAATTTTTTTTCACAAGATGGTTGACGACTAAGTACGGTACAAATTTTAATAACATAATATTACTTATCCGTTACAGATAAGACGAGAAAGAAACACGTATATCTGCCGTAGTAGCACCACTAGTTATTCAATTAACTCCCATTGATTTCAGCAAAGCGAGCGGATAGTGCTTATTGCATATACATCTTTTTTGCATACAAGTATGATTGAAGACCTCCTCTTGGAAAATATTTACGGAGATGAAAATAGCAATTTTACGAGACAAGCAAATAAAACTTAACAAGGTTGCCTGAACTGTAATGTACTTGCCTTCAGAATCCGATCTAAACAGGGTCGAATATAAGCTCTTTTACATGCCATTGTATTTTACATACTATTTACTTGGTATAATTTTCACTCTTCGTGAAAAAGGAGAATATTGCTTATTAGACAGTAGTGCTTAGCCACAGAAACTACTCAATTTGTTTCGTTCAAAATGGCACAGAATGCACAGTATTTCCAAAGCTCGGATTGCCTATCGAAGCGACGTACCATCTTAAGAAATCATCCTTTGTAATGGGTGAAATGCCTGAAGCCTGAAGGAGACATTACTTTAATTCATCAAGAAATAAATTTATTTATTCATATTAATTCTAATTTAATTCAGCAACAAAATTTTACACAAACTGTAACATCTTTCGTCTCAAAACGTATGCATGTACTCCTTACTACCCTCAAGACACGCAGGGGTTCATACTCGCACACTTCCACATGTAAGAAAAAATTGAGAAAGAAATATATTAATCACATTTATTTCCATCCACTGCATTACATTTTCCATTTCATGAATAAAATTCAAAGTTCTATAGGAATTACAGATAGAATCTGAAACAATTAAAAACAGGAAAAGTGAACATCAATCATATCTAACCAGACTTGTTCTAGTATTCATAAAAATTAAAAATATCAAGATATTACTCAATGCAAAAAGAAAACATCAATGCAAAAATATTTCATTGTTCGATTTGAAAATGGTGTTCCAAAGCCTTTCGCAACATCTGAAGCTGTTTCTTCTTGATGTGGGTCAGTTTTGTACGAATTAAATCTTCGATTCCATCTTCTCCTTTGTATTGGAATGTTGCCTTCAGCAGCATGTAGTCAACTCCGGACTCGGCCAAGAACTTGCGAAGAGAAAAAAAACGCCTCTTTTCCACCTGAGACTTCCCCACAAACATGAGCTTGAGCGAATACATGCGAAGCTGCACTTTCAAACGTTCGGCTTCGTTCCGAAGTGGCTGCATGTACGTGCCCATGTGGCCAAGCATGCGGATGTAGTACAGATCTCTATTTTTCTTTACACTGTGCTGCCTTCCTCCAAAGAGGCGATCCATGAGCTGAAACAATATATTCCAAAATCAGACCCGGCAAAATAATGCATATAATTTCTTACTTTTGTAAAAACAATTCCTAGAACTCACCTGAAAGGTTACGATTGATCTGGTCCAGGCAGAAATAGGTTTTTCATGAAGACCCAACAGAATTCGAGACAAAGCTGTCATTGAGTAGGAGACGAACGTCTGCTTAAACGCAGTTTTCGCTGCTTCTCGCAGAACAACAAAACCTTTGACGGAGTAGGAAAACTTTTCTGTCAATCTGTATTTTTCTAAAGCCCTCAGAAGAAGAGGTATTGCAGCTCGTCGCCTGTCAAATGTGAACAAAATTATTCCATCTGTTCCTTTTTCTGCTCCACGCAACCATCTAACAAAGTGGCGAAGAGTGTTTTTCAACGATTTCGTTGCGACGGCCTGAAAAAGGTAATTATGGTAAAACACATTGCACAGTTTGTTCTTATCACTTTATCAGTGCGACTTTCATTGAATATACGAACCTCTTGAGTGGTTGTGTCTATAAGTTTGCGATCATTATTGTTATCTACGACTTCCAGTCCAAATTTCTTTGCCACTGTAGGGTTAAGATCACATTGGGGCATAACATACTGAGTAAAATACGCTCCAGGACTGAAAACGGACAGCAAAATAATTTCACTTTCCCATTTCCATCCCGTTGTGTCAATATCCAGAGCAAGGAGCTGCATCCTTCCCTAAAAAACAAAACATAATTCGTAACTATTACACTATGCTTAGTAGCTATGTGGCTATTGCAAAACGGGATTAGTATTTCCACATAATTCTTAAACTTCCAACTGTAGTCTGGTGGTGGAATGTAGAATATATCGACGAATATGTATTATATATTTCCTTAAAGCTATTCAAAGTATTCATTTTCTCAGTAGCTTAAGATATTAGACTGACTTGGCATATATCAATGGATGCGGGATAGGTTTTTCATGAAGGCTCAGAAGCATTCGAGTTAAAGCAGCGATTGAGTAGGAAACGATTGGTTCGACTTCCCCCTTGGATAGTCAATTCTTAAAATTCAAAAAAATAATTTATTAATAAACAATAAAGAAAACAATTTAGTTATATCCAGAAACAGAAATGTCAGAAAGATATGAACTTTCGATGCCATCTCACATCTCAACGTAACTTAAAAACATTTATTTACCTTAACTCGGGATGTTGAGATAAGAGAAGAGGACACCATCGGTTTCAGCAGTGAAGACATCGCGAAGTAGTGAGTGAAGGATTGGCTGTGAAGCAATGGCCTCTCGACTGCGCAAAGTTCTTCGACGTCGTCCAATCCAGGCAGAGGGTGGGCGCGCCCCGCGCAGTCGCCGTCGCCGCTGGAGACCGTCTGCGCGCCCAGCAGCCGCGCGCTCGCCTTTGGTCTGAGTCCAAGCGATGTAGTGCAGCCCGCGCTCGCCCACGGCGACACTGTCGCGCGCAGCCCCATCCCCGTTGAGGGCGGTCGGCGGAGCCCTCTTGCCTGGCGCTGGCGTTGCCAGCTCGCTACTTGAATTCGCGACGGATTCCGTCTTATGGTTCAGCGAAAATGCAACAGATAGCTCTAGAGATCTTTCAACAATATTATCATACGCATTTGCCAAATAATGGATTTGCTTATAGAAGTCAACTTAGAGTTTACTCAAAATTTTCCACCATATCCTTTTCGAAGATTGCTTTTTAGAAAATATTTGAAATATTATGTATACTTGTACTGAATACAGTAATTCACTGGAACTAAGGTGAGACCACATATTTGCGAAAAAACAGTCGGGGACCTCCAATTAAGTAAACATCCATGAAAATAACGAATTCGAAGTTTTTTCAAGAGTACTCCTTAGATTCTCGTTTTTAGCTATTTCATTGTTATTCAACCACACACAGGTTTCGTCTTCGCAGACTGATAGTTGGTTCGAAAACAACCAAACAATGAGGAAATCGCAGAGTTTTTGGAAGTGGATATGGAAATTATTGCCGCGAAATTGATCCTGTGCATGGACATCTTAAAAACTGTCCGCGAATCGTGGCAGAGCTAGGATTGCGTTTAAAAGGTTTGTGTGTGTAGTTTGTGTGTGCAGCAAGCCCAGTATAAAATTATTTTTCTATTAGAACATTTTACTTCAATAGTTTCGTTCAATCCAGAATCGTAGTCTTCCCACTGATTCAAACCAGTAGTTTGATAAGTGTAAACTTTTAAACAATAATATTTCTTGGCAGACTAGTAATGTCCTTATTTAAGTATCTGCGTTTAGCGATTATTCACAATTTGATATCTCCGCAGTGAACGTGACACCACCACTTCATATGTCAAGGTTGGTTATTAATACATTATTTTCCGGAGGCATATTTCACCCCATTATATTCCCTTTGCTGTTCTTCACTTTCTGTCTCTTGCTATTTGTTTTGCAGGTTAATTTATACTCTAGTGGGACGGCAGATCTTGTCATATGATATTAGTTTTCCTGTTTGTCTCATTGTATGTATCTTTGCGCAGATGTCATACAGCAATACCGGATATGGAATCCAGGACAGTTTCAAAAACATAAAACTCTCTCCGGGCAAGGAAACTTTTGTCACGTCTGGTAATACGAAACTCGTATCAAACACCAACTACAAATTAAATAAATCTTAGCAACGCAAGAGGCGATGTATTTGCTTTGATCCTCGTAAGCTACGAAGAACGTATTCGCGTATGTTTCGATTACATTGAGACAGAATTCAACTTGAAAAGAGGAAGTCAGGGGTTGATGACCCTACATAAAGAGGGAGGCAAAATTCACGATAAACAAGGTCAACTGGAAATGGGCGAAGGGGGATATTGAAATTTAAATCCAATGTTGATGACACTTTACAATTCTGAAGAAGGGACATACAGATCGCTCAGCCTCCTTTTCATTGCATGAGATAACTGAACAACGTAGCAGTCTAAATGCAAGAATTTAGAAACCTACGTGTACAGCATATTTCTTTCTTTCCTATTCACATTAATGCACGACGTTAAGTCGTTAAAAGAATTCAGTTTTCTCCAATGTCTTTCTTCTTTTCACAATTATTACTTTTTTTCATGGTGGGAAGGAAAGAATTGAAAACATTTTTTTCAATACATTAGAAAGGCACACAAGTTTATGCGCCTAGAAAAATCTTTTACACTGCGTGACTGTTTCTGTACATTTAAAGACTACTACTGATATCCGCCAACAAAACTGTTTCTCAACAAAATCACACAAATTGGTTTTCCCAAAGATGTCCACACTGCTCAGAAACAGCAAATAAAATACTCTCGTACCGCCGAATTGTAACAAAAAGTCTTACAAGAATACTGCAATAACAAAGTACTTTTTATTGTCTTTATATACTAATAATTAAAATTATACTAATAACAGAAAAAACTGGTATTTCAAAACGCAACATGTAAATAATAATATTTAAGCAGAGTATTCCTTTGTACCTCACTGTCACATAACATCATCTGTGTCACAAATAACGACGCAAAGAGTATGAGAATTCAGTAGGTACGCGGGATATGAGAATATGTGGAATAACACAATCAAATATTTACATTTTTCTGTCAATCAGCAGCAGCATTATTTTCGGATTTTTCGGCGTTCTTGGGTATCTAATGAAACTGTTGAAACCTCTCACATTGTCACTCTCCATATTTGTTTTTTCAATTTTCGCGCGCTTTGGAAAGTAGTTAAATATACACTGAGCATCAAAATGGAAATTAATAACGATATTAACAATAAAAATTAATGTATTAGTTACCATTAGGACTGTGTAATTAAAAACGCTAAATATGCCTGTAAAAAGTATTGTACCGCAGCTGCTGGGGCTAACCCACATCTTGATCAGATTTTTCGGCCCCTGATCCACTGAGCAAAAGCTCAGATGGTCACTTTTTTTGATTCTTAATATAAATATCCAGTGGGCCATATATTTTTGTTATAACCGTTTTCCAAGCTCTAGCGGCAGTGAGTCGATTTCTTCAGGAAAATCACGAGCATGGATAAAAGAAAACAATCTGTCGCTGATTTGCCTTTTTTATTAGGTTTAATTTATAATTAAGTTAAGGTTAGAGATCTAGGTTGGTCCCCTCACCCATTGAACTGTACAAATAATATAAATAAATATCATTAAATCTATACCAAACCAGCCGTTCTGACGTACCATCTCTAGCTGAAGCTTAAAAATTTAATTGACTCATCCAAGGATTTCTATAACGCAATGTTCGAAAATTCAGAGAAATCAACGAAAATGAGACCTCCACCGCTCATTTATGTGCCCTCGTTTTATCCCTGGAAAAGTTTTTAAAAAAAATTCGAGTGGATTTTAAGAAAATGTTAAATTTTGCGTTAATTTCAACCTTAAATTATGTGAAAATACTTTAAGGCTTCGTGTAAAGTACCCGTATTTAATATAATTATACATGTCCATTTTTAAAGAACTGACTTTTTAGAGGAGATTTTGTTTAAACCAATATCTCTATCTTCAATTTTGTATATTTGAAATGTTAACTTTCTGCAGTTTTCAACAACACGGAGTTTGCCTGCAATGGGACTAGCACCATATTTTTACCGTCCTTTGATACATACGAGGAGAACATTTTTAAAAAAAATGTTTAAAAAATTGCCTATATTTCACGAAAAATTATACGAAAACTAGTCGTATTTCCAAAAAGTTGTGTGTGACCTTTTTTCAAGATGTCTTTAAAGAAGAGATTTTATTAAAGAAAATACTCTACCTTCAATACTACAGTTGTAAAAGGACGCTGAAAAAATTGCACGTTTGCAATTTTCGAAAAGGGGTATTAAGGAAAATGAGACCTGTACCAATCTCTTAAGCGTTCTTTACGCTATTCTAGGAGAGAGTTGAATCACTAAATTTGAATCAATTTATGAGAAAATGTTGAAAAAGATTTTTAAGGCTTGTAAAATACCCCCTCAACTTAAAATATCCATTTGAAACTCCCAAAACAGCGAGTTCGTTCAGGTTGATTACAAAATATCAATTTTGAGGGACATCCGCTGAACGGGTTAAGTGCTAGCGTTGACCGTAGATCGGGCAGACGGACGGGCGAATAATCTGAAAATTTTCCCTCAATCGATTTTTCGGTTTAAGAACCCACACGACATGTATGTAACTACACAACGTGTTAGAGGAAGTAATTTACTAAGCAAATTATTAATATAGGAACAAGATTTATCCACTTTCTCGTTATCAGGGTCCGGCAATACGAGTTGTTCAACCGAAATTTGTTATTTTCCGGCGAATGACACTTCTTAAGTAGTATGTGAGAGAAAGTAAAAAGGGTACTATCAATTTTAAATCAAGAAAATGTAAGAACTTAAAGTATGTACTCACAAAATTAAATAATTTTAAAAGACGTTACAATCAATGAGTTTGAAGGAATTAATCTATTAGTTTTTATTTCAATTTAATTGTAATTGATTAAATTGGAACAACATTTTTATTCACTTCATCGAATATTTGCTTTCTATTAATGGATGAATAGTTTTCAATGAATTGTTGCAATCACTATGTAACCGTTACAAGAAATTAAGCTGCGTATTTTAGCCTATTTGCCTTTTTTTCTTATTCAAAGGACAAAGCAATATTTTAGTTTCATATTCATTTTCAGACATTGGGAGTATTATACAAGTATGTGAATTTTTAGTGGCTGTAAATTCCTATTTCACTGCATATTTTGTGTTTAAATGCAAGTACAATTGTGTGTTGCCTATTCTTGTATTTATTTATCAAAATTAAATTATCTTTAATACAATTTTTTAATTGTATGTTTTCTTCGTTTTTATCCTGTTGATTAGAGAAAAATTGAACAACTATCGATAAATCTATGTTCCGTTTATCTGCCACCGAATTTTCGCAGAGTATTATGAAACACCGAGAAATGTTTTACTTCGAATTTTTAAACAATTCCATTTTTCGCGAGCACTGTATTTTCGAAGATGTCAACATTGCAATAGTGCATTATTGAGTACAGATATTTTTGTCTTCAATGTAACATGTTCTAAAAAATCTTATCTTAAAAAATGCTGTGTATATGGTTTTTGAGGACATTCTGCTCAAGTTGCATGCAGATTACAAAAATATTTCTCAAAAACCACTACAAATATTCACTTCATTTTTTTACCACAGATAGAACAAGGAACTCTCACAAGAATAGCGCAGGCCACATTTTCGTTGAACTCTCTGAATATTTGAGAATTTCAAATTTTGAAATATATTTATAATGCGAAACGTTCTATTGAAACACCAATGGTTACATTTGTGTTAATCATCGCGATTAAAGCAAATCTTACAATATTTTTCTTATGTTTAAATTAAATGTGAGAAAAAGACTATACTGTGCAGCTTGCATTTAATGAAAAGCAAAAAGTTAGCTACTGCGATTCAGCCTCATTGTACAAATTGCCCAACAATGGATGAAAA